TTTTTTTTCTTCATGATATTACTCAGAAATTGGAGATTTTAATCCCTGTTCGAAGGGCTTCGCTCACAGCGGTGAATACTGTATTCCCACAGACCACCGTTTAGTATACATTCTAAGGAAAAGCGGAAGGAAGTTGTTCAGTTCGTCAACAATTTCTCTTTCTCAGAATTTATGTATTAGGATCGGGTTACTTTCAAACTGTCCCATCGATCCTTATTTACAGATGTGGTCAAGTCAGACTTGCTACTTTCTGTCCGAGAAGAATGCGATACTTTACGCAAAAGAATTGCCAGTATTGAGGCAGACATGATTACCAGCCGAGAGGACCACCAGCGTCTGATTGCTGAAGCCCGGAGGACACGAAGTGAAGCTGACGAGCTTCGTCAAGAGCGTGATGCTCTCAATGATCAGGTCAGCTACTTTCCAACACTTAAGTAATGTGACTAGTGGTGTGTTCCCGCTCTCCTGTGGCTTATTTGTTGTTACATTGCTAATTTCCAATCTTTACAATGCAGCTCGATTCTTATGCATCTGTAGTGTAATGTCTGGTTCGCTGGATTGTATATCGGGCTATGCTCGAGCGACTTAGATCACCGAAATTTAGCGGGCATCTTTGTCCAAGATATTTTGGCTGGCTTTGGTGCCAGCACTGTTCGTTTTTGCTTGCGGGATAGCTGCCGGATCCATTAACCGCCTCTCTTATGCGTTTCTGCGGGCGTGATTAGCTTACATACGAAATCGCTCTCACCCTATTACAGCTTGTTAGATTCTGCATAATTGTGTGCCAGCCTTCAACCGGTTCAGGTTCAAGTTATGTTTGTTCTCTAACGATAGCATTACTAGCAATGCGACCTGTACTTTTCTCCCGTTTACGCATTTATATCAGGTGTAAGGCAGATCAAACGACGCCACTCAATTTATATCAAATAACTGTTTTTTTCCTCCTAGGTTAACACGTGCAATCAGCGGATTGAACAGTTACAATCTGCACTGAGAACCACTTTGCTGGGTCCGATGGCAACACCGGCGGCGAACACCATTACAAACTCTACCTCGACAGCCCACCGGGAAACCGACGCGCAATCTACACCGATCTCTCACCCTGGTACTTCTTCCACCGCTCAACCTCCCGTCTTGCTTTCGCCCGGCCCCGGAAGTATGGTATGTTGGTCTGAACCAGTTCTCAGTATATATATTTGATATATTTCTAGTTAGTGATCCATTCTGGATGCTTTGCAAGTCGAGAAGTTGCGCCTCCACTACTCTCTAAACGACTCATATAGGCCACTCAACATTAATATGTACCTAAAGCGTAATAACACGTGGTCACGGTGATTTGAAACGATATCCCGTCAGACCGTCCACTGACGACCTACCACAAACCTGTCACACCAGACAACGTGCGCTTCTGAATTACGGTCTTTTCGGCATCCAATGTACTTTTCAAAAACTCATAACTTCACATGACTGCGCGGGTCGGTCGATTGAAGGGTCGTACTCCGCAGACACATGTGGTCACTTCACGTTGTGATCTACCTCAGATGGTCTACACACTGTTAGCTCCACCACCAGCAAACCGTTAGTGTACCTCAGTGTATTTAGGCAATATCGTTCACTGTTGGCATCCTTAACTAAACTAACCAAAAGCGAATCTTAGCTACTTTTCAGTCATTCCCGTATGACTTATGACTCTTATGATGTCTCACTGTTCAGCTTATTTGACCCTCATAGGGTCGAAAATATTCTCCGTAATGAACGTCCCAAATGCGCTATCCGTAAACTTCCGTGACTGTTACTCACGCTACTTGTGACTTTTAGGGATATTATTGGGTTTTATATTTTCCCGTATAATGTACCATCATTAATTCATGTGACATCACACAGGTGGTTCAACACTAATGTTGTAATTGTGTTACACGGAGTCCAAGCTAATTGTGTGATCGAATTTTTGCGTGTGGGCTTCCAAGGGGGCATGCGAACGCCAGAGGACCGTGTCAAATGGTTTCAAAGAGAGTTAGTGAAACACAAGAAACAAATATAATATGCCTTTTGCAACGTTAGG